CCTTGACAATCTTTTCTGCAAGTCGTAAACCGAGGACAGCTCCAAGTAACTCAAGTCTTGGTATACTAATAGATTGCAATGGACTTACTCGGGCTTTTGACATTATGATCACACAGGTCACTTCTCCTGTGTCATATAAACATTGTTGGTAAGCAACAGCACAGTAAGCTTTACAAGATGCATCCGTAAAAACATGAATTGACCTATTTGTTACTGTTAAGGTTGTTTGTAAACATCTGGGAATGTTTATTTTTGGGAGATCGTTTAGTTCTTGGAACCATTGATCAACATTATTTGCAATCCTATCCGGAACTGCATCATCCCACTCAATTCCATCAATCCACAGTTCCTGCATAATTATTTTAATTCGAATGATATATGGTGCCAAAAAACCCAATGGATCAAACAACGTTGCCATTTTTTTAAGCAAAGTTCATTTTGTATATACCGTATTTTCTTCGGTTGTTACAGAATAAAAACTAAATAAATCAGTTTTGCTTCCCAGACAACTCCAAGTGTTTTCATTGCAGGCAATTCTCCAGAATCTAAATTTATATGTTCTGCACGATCATTTTCTGGTGTTATTTTAAGAACTTCGACCCAGTTTGAAAGACACTTTCGTGCAAACATTCCTGCTGAATTCCATAGTAGCGTGAGTTCCTTGTATAATTGAATTCCTACTTTTTCATCAACTACAGAAGTTATTGTGTCGTCCATGTAAGTTGCTTCAAGAACAGCTTCAGAAGCCAAAGGAAATTTTTTTACATACTTTCTTGCGTGTTCTTGCGTTACAAATTGAGCCCTAAAAGGCGCTGAGTTGATTCCAAATACGAGCCGATTAAACTGAAATACCTCAGGCTTGGCAGTTGAATCAAGGTTTCTCCATAAAATTCGTTGGTACCTTTGGTCATCTTCATGTATTCCAATTTTTAAATACATTTCTGCTATATCACAAGCTAAAGCTACTGGGTATTTTCGAAATCTCAGCAAAACAGTCACAAGGTCTTGTTGAAGTTTTGGACCTTGATAAATAACATCATTAATTGATTTACCATTATATTTTGCAGATCTATCAAACACAATTCTGACTTTTGTAGTTGATTTATCAGGACGAAGAATTGGAAAATTTGGTAAATACCAACCATCTCCAAGATCCTTTTTATTGATTTTCTCCAAGTATCCCTTTTCTTGATACTGCTTTTCATTAACCATTTTTCCATATTTTGTAATCTGTTTAACGCCATTGTATAATTATTGTCCAAATGTCTATTACATTTCCATGGTAATTTTAGCTCATATCTTCCGTTCTCAATTTTTAGCGAATTAGTTACTATATTAAGGGCGGTAGAGTCTTCTGGACTTGTCATTATTTTTCTAAATTGCATCTCTTCGTCGCCTTCAATTTCCCATAATTTTTTAATGGTGTTGTTTGCATCTTCTATTTCCTTTGTATTAGATGTTATTTTCGTAAAATGGGTTTGAAGAGATCCACTAGTACCACCAACACATGTCCATCCGAGCGGCGTGAGTCGAGCCACTGGTTCATTAAATCCTCCTTTTACTTCCTTAATTGCACAGTGCAGCTCAGTGTAATCCACACCGATTAGAATGTCAATTTTTGGTTTTGGTCCAATATTTGGGAATTCAATTTTTCTTAGATGTTTCCAACTTTTTGACATATTTGCCTAATTAACTGCTTTTAAGTTTCCAGTTACATTATTAACTGTAAAAGCTTCCACTGTAATTTTTGTTTCTCAATTCAACGATTCCAACTGAAATTCTACCGGCATCGTTTCAAAAGAATCAATTTTTTTATTTATCATGTTTACAGTTACTTTTTCGGTTTTACCTTGCAGTGACAACTCAGCCGCTATATCAGAGTTCAAATATGTCTTGGTACTTCCATCGTCAAGCTATGCGTTTACCACAACTTTTTTATATCCATTACGAAGAATAACTGGCACCCTTCTAAAAGATATGTAGTTCATGACGTGATTTGAATGAAATTGGATGTTCAACGTATGAGAATTTTCTAATATCGTGTCTTTTTTCTTTGTAGTCTTCAGAAATTGTTTCTTTTTTATGACTTTTCTTGTGAAGCAAACGATTATGGGTATCTGTACATCAATCCCACAAATTCTTGTGTTCCTGCATTCTTTTGACGAATGGTTAGAATTCAAGCATCTAAAGCAGAGTTTATTTTTCTTAGCTGTCTCCCATCTTTCTTTAATATTTTGATTTTGAAACGTTGGACACTCCCATATTTTATGATCGTTTTTGCAAACAGAACATTTCTGTATCCAATTTATTTTCTTTTTTTGATCACTGTTACCAAAGTAAGAATTTCCTTCGTGTTCTTTGCTACCAATAGTTTTTTTTAAACCATGTAGTTTCCGTTAAACCATGTAGTTTCCGTTGCTGCAATTTGAAAATCTGCTTCTTCAACAATAAACTTTTTTAGAGTTTTAACATTTTCGTTTAATTTGTTTTCATACACCCA